AATGAATTCGTGACGTATTCATAGAATAATTATTAATAAAAATCAGTTAGATTAACAATTTCTAATGTATAGAAAAGACGGTGCGTTTTGGTGACACTACGTTCCAACAATAATTTTATGTCATGTTGCTAAGCAACAAAAGTATAACCTAATATTGTTATTAGTCTATGTTCTGAAAGTATAGAATATAATGTAATAGACAACAAAACTGGAAAACATTTGTTGATTTCTTAATTTAGAATCTCCATTGATTAAGGATGTTTTTTATATTAAAAACATTGGTGATATAACAGAAAATAGCTTAATTCAGAAACGATTTAAGTGTGAAATTGAGTAGATATTTTTCCTTCCTGATAAATTTTATGCACTTGAATGTAGACTAGGTAATCCCACACTATGTCTTTACTTTAGGCTTATTATATCAACATTCACTACACTTATAAGGTTTCACAGTCCCCTTGCATAAAGGGCATACAGTAATCGAACTATTTTATCTGGATGAATGCATTTTGGCTTTTATGACTCCTTCTATTTCGAGAAATCAAGCATGATGCGACGTAACACACACTGGCTTTCATATAGGTTGGATAGATGGATTATTTTATTGATTTCATTTACAAGAAAGAAAACTATGTTTATGTAAACTGGTTGATTGATTAGATTGCTAGTTTGGGTCTTGAAGATACAAAAACATCCTTTACTTATGATAAATGCAATAGCGAACAAATAACATTAATTCCTGAATTATAATTTCAGCTTTAGATTTATATTTATATTTTCATACTTGTAATTGTTTAAACAATATGTGCATGATGTAACATGACACCATGAATTTTGTTTATTTTAGTTTCAGCGCAACGCAACAAATTGGGATACATGTGCTCTGTTCACCGCACAATCTAAAGTCTAACTTAACATGACATAGTAAGACACATTTGCATCATTTCTGTGCAAACAACTAAATTAGTCAATGTCGTATTCTACAGTGTTCAAGGAACGTTTTATTTTAACGAAGGACTTCTATTTGGTCGTTTTTATAGCCACAATGACGATAGACGAACATATTTTTCTAGGCAACCATTTACACTTATTGTAACAAAATAATTTAAAACCGTGGTTAAATATTACAGTTCCACTGTTTGAAAGTTCATCATTTAAATACAACTTTGACATGCGGAAGAAGTACAGGACATCTCTTGTTTCAGGGTCTGAGGTACCCGACTAGAAAAATGTCACAATGCATAATTCTCATAATCAAGTAATAAACCAGAAAATATATTAAAATAGTGTTATTTCTACACCAATCCTAGTTTACTATGTAAATCACAGAGTTTGTAATTGTTTTTTTTTCTATAATATAAGTTTTATGGTACGTCTAATGCATGTTCCTTTGTCACAAAGGAAGCTGGTTATCATGTTCATAACCAAAGTTTTACTGGTCAATCCGCAAGGACAATGGACTATCAGGAAGTTTATCTCTTTTTCTAGATCTGGACATGGAAGATAACCATTCCCTTGGACCTTGGACAGGCACAACTGAACTGTTTTTGGAGCTTGAACATTCTTCACTAGTTTGGGGACTAAAAAGTCCTGTAGAACTGTCTGAGTGGTAAAGTGACATTCTGGAAGAGTTTCGAGAAGGTGTTCCTCTAATTTCCAGGATTTCATCTGCTTCAAATGCCGGATTTGTGTGTTCCTCTTGTACAGAAGACAGAAAATAAGGATATTGCATAAGTTGTGTGTTGCTAGGAGTTTGGGAATAAGAATCTATAGGAGCACCCTTACAACTGTCTTCGCTACTTTCTTCGCCACTGGTTCCAATACCAAGGTCTTTCTCAGCATTATTATCAGAATCCAATGTGTTTCGAGATCCTTTTGTACTTTCTCTTTCTTCTGCTGCATCTTTTCCACTCTGATGCATCATTTTCAAGTCTGTTAGTCCTAAACTAGCAATATTAGTGTAAGAAGGACGAGGAATCATCATAGTCATTGTATTTGTCGCTGGAACTGTCGAATTATCAGGTTTTTGGGAACGGTAGGTAGATTGTGAGATATCTGGAAGCTCTGGAAGCTCGTCTTTCTTCTTTGAACAGCAATAATCAGTAAATGATAGTAACACTGGAAGCAGAAAAATACCATGAAGCGCTGCAAATAATATAACTAAGAAGACTGTTTTAAAAAACGTAAGAAATATATATGAAGGAGCGAAGGCGAGCGACACTATTCCCAAAATCGTCGACAAACTGCCTTGCAGAATTGGCATTCCCAGGGAATGAAGAGCACAGCGCATTCGATCATTCGCATTCTTTTTATCTGATGATATATAAGCATACGATATGTGGGCCGAGTAATCAACAGAAAATCCGATGCACATTATTAAATTTATCATGGAGATCGCATCTAAGTTAACGTTCCAGTGAGCCATGTAGCCAATCACTCCGATTTCAATAGAAACTATAGAAAAAGCTACCCACATTGCACACGCGGGCTTTGGAATGAACACGAGGGATATCACCATCATGACAGCAGCAGCAACAGAGATAGCTTGTATAGATGTTTCTCGAACAAGAATAAATTGATCCCAAAAGACGAAGTATTGCTGATAAACTGTAACGTTGAAAGGAAAACTATCAGCGATCTCGCGCAACTTGAGAACCATATCTTTCTCCTGGTTCGCATCATTGATATTTTTTGTTTGTATCATAAATCTAGAACACACAATCGCTGTTCTATTCTCGTTCAACAAAATATCCTTTTTAAAATGTCCCAACAATGGCATCCTAAAAAAAACATCAGTAAGAGCTGCTATGAAATCTTCCTTCTTGGACATGTTGAAACCACTCAATAGAGAGAAAGATCGCTCGTCGTTTTGAAACTGGATGTAAGATCTCAACCAAGACTCAGTCAGTGATGATCCAGCAATGAATTCAGCACTTTCGAACTTCTGGAGCATGTTATCCATTGCTTCTTGTACTTTAGCGTCTGCATAGTTTAATTCATCAGTTACAACAACGTGAATCCTGTAAGGGTACTGCCGGAAATACATATCATCCATTTTGTAGAATGTCACAGAATATGAATCGTATCTAGACAGTTTATGTCTCTCAAGACCTTCTTTAACCAACGTGCAACCCCAGATTCCCACGACCAAGTAAATGAAGAATATTACAATCACAAATATCTTTACCCACAGAATGCTGAGAATTTCACCTAATGTATCTCGAAAAAATATCATCAACATAGGTTCTTGGTTGTCTATTGGGTTGTTTGGATCTTCCTTGTTTAACCCACCAGTGCACAGGAGTCGAAAGAGGGCACTCTTATTTTCTGAAACTAAGACACACAAATATATTATAAAATTGATATCTGACAGGACAGTAACAACGATTGAAATTATTAATTTATATATTTTAAGCATTTAATAATTTTCCGAAAATAATACTGAGCATTTGTTAAAACGTTTTACAAAAGCAAGTATCACTCAAAAATAGATAAACTTAACATAATATGATATATTTAAAAATATTCACAACAAAATTCGGAGTTCTTTTAGCTTGGGTATGGTATAACATATTTTTATATCTATGTAGTCATTACTTTCAAAGCAGTCATTGCATACAAAGGGAATTATATATTACATGATCAAAACTTGGTCACTATATATATAGTTAGCTATTTTGAAGTTTTTCGAGATACAGAAAATAAAAGCATGTGACTCTAAACAATTCAGACTATAACCCTCCATTCTTTAAGAGTATGTCTCGAATGGTAGAAATTTAAGAACGCCTAGATGTTTCACACCAAAATTGTCATCTAGAAAGAAAACTCTCAAGTTTGCGAACAATCTATGGTGGGGTGAGGTGAGGAAGGATTGAATTCAGATGGGGAAACATCCTCCCTGCCTTACGGAAAGAATACTCTTAGTGTGTTAAACGTAAGTGTTAGTATTTACGTTATAATACAGCTTATCTTAACATAACATAATGTTTAGGGACCTATTGGTCCATCTAAGCTGTCCCATCCTCTAAACTAAACTAAAACTATTAAATAAAATAAATAAACCTCAAAGCTAGCCCTTATCATTCATATAGTTATCCAGCTTTCTCTTAAATCACTTAAATTTACTGCCTCCACAACATCCGAAGGCAACTATTCTAAAGGACAACCACCCTGTTAGAAAAATAAAACTATCTCAGCTGAAGATCATTCTTACCCTGCCAAAAACTTTATTTGTGTCCCCTAGTCCTATCACCGTTAAGTATGAAAAAGGATGATGCATTAACACTATCAATTCACTTAATAATCTTAAACATTTCAAACAAATCCCTCAAACTCTTCTTTCTTTTTTTTTTTGAAGAGAAAACAATTTCAGAGATCTTTACCTCTCCTTGTATGACAACTAGGACAATGTTTATCACCTCACTTGAAAATGTTAATAATAAGCCAACTTTCAATTCTCTGGCACCTGCCCACTATTCAAAGACTTACAAAAAAAATATTAGCAAGTGACTCACATATCCAATCTTTAACCTCCTTCAGAAACCCTTGGGGAAATATTATCTGGTCCAGTAGCCTTATCGTTCTTTAAACTTCCCAATTTTTTCTTAACAAGCTCAGAATTAATGTGATTTTCTTGTTCGACCTTGTTTCCAGTGAAGAAAAAGCAGAATTTAATAACCCATCCATTTCATAATCATCAGATACAAGCCTTCCTTTATCATCCCACAAGGGTGCTACCCCGTCCTAACATTTTGTTTACCCTTAATGCCTTTAAAGAAATCCTTACTGTTAAATTTTACACTCTCAGCCAACCTTCTTTTATACATCCTTTTTGATGTCCTAATTTCCTGTTTGACTACTTTCTTGATCTTCTATAATCTTATAAATCTCCCGTCATACCAGTCAATTTAAATTTCTTAAAGTTATAATGCTTTTCTTTAATTTTATCTCTTATACCCTTTGTGAGCCAACCTGGTTTTTTTACTTCCAGCTACCCCTTTTCTTTCTATAAGGAATATGTTTAGTGGGAATATTTAAAAATTTATCATTAAAAATCTTCCGAATGACTCATCTGCCCAATTTACAACAGATAATTCTTGTTACATTCCTTCAAAATTCGCAGTTTTGAGATTTGTAACCAAAGTATCATTATCCCTTATCTCCATATGGAGCAAAAAATCGAACTTAATAGAACAATGATTACTTCTACCCCAGATGTTTCCCAATTTACACCCTCTCAACCATTTCTATATTACAAGTTAACAATAATTCACAAATAGCATTGTCTCTGGTAGATTCCTTGACCAACTGTTAAACAAGTGTATTAACAATACCTACAATAAATGGCTATGCTTAAACATTGAACAGGTATTTGAAGTAAAACTTATCTGCCATATTAAAGTCGTAAAAAGTTACACTTCATATAAGATTTAAAGTTTTGACTGAAAGATAAACAATAGATATTATATAAACCTGTTGTGTCATGAAATGTTTTTTTGTTTTTTATTGCCTATTCATAAGTTCTAGTATTGAATGAAAATATTATAGAACAGTGACTTATGAGGCACAAAAATAGATGTGAAATGCTATTTGCACATACCTCTGATTTGGAACCGCAATGGACAAATTAAGAAGAAAAAATGTGCATTTAATTTATTTTTATAACAAGTTTTAGGCCTATTGGTTTTCCAATATTTCGCCGGATTTTGGCGTTTCAACCATAACTTTCATTATATAAAATTTATTTTTATACATATTTAAAACTTTTACAATTTTTATATCATATTTCATGAAAAGAGAAACAACATTTTGTCGAATATCTTTAAGTATATATGAAGAATAACTGATAAGGATATAAAGGGGTTTTGTATATTTAATAGAAAACTTAAGACTAAAGTGAAAGACATTAAAACGAACATCCATTTTAGTGGCTTACAAGTGAAAGGATTACAGTCTGAAAATTGCTGTTGAACGGCCTCACTTGTTGCTCAATAGAGTATAATGTTAAGCTTAGTGAGATTGAATAAAAATAACGTTGAAACTGCTAATTTTAACTTGTAATTTGATAATAATACATAGAAACTAAGTGCAGCTATTCTTCAATAAGGTAAGAACATAATTCAAAAACTATTTATATAAAATACGATTGGTTACTAGAGATGACGCCATTTTGCAATTCCTAACATTTTACGTGATCGTTTCGGCTGACATTATTCGTTTCTGGAGTACTTGAAAAGAGAGTTTTTTTGTTTGTTTGTTTTGAATTTTCGCGCAAAGCTACACGAGGGCTATCTGCGCTAGCCGTCCCTAATTTAGCAGTGTAAGACTAGAGGGTAGGCAGCTAGTCATCACCACCCACCGCCAACTCTTGGGCTACTCTTTTACCAACGAATAGTGGGATTGACCGTCACATTATTACACCCCCACGGCTGAAAGGGCGAGCATGTTTGGTGGAATGGGGATTCGAACCCGCGACCCGCAGATTGCGAGTCGAGCGTCCTAACCACCTGGCCATGCCGGGCTGAAAAGAGAGAGAGACAGCGCAAAAATATCCTTATGTTTAAAAGTTCGGTCGATTCAAAGGTTGCTTCTTTATAATATTAAGAGTACAACTTGGATAATATGAGTTATTTACTGGCTTGTAAACAAAAGGCTGATAAAATTATAACAGAATTACACGTATTATGAACCGTACTTTATGAACTATCGGAGTTTATAAATGTGCACATTTCGTTTTTTGTTTCAGAAATGTATGATAGCCAAACTGCAAAAATTTACGAAAGAATAAATGTGTAAATTGTATATCATTAGGCACGAAGATAAAAACTGGATATGAGTTAAAATAGTTTTATAAAGAATATCTGAAAGAGTAAACAAATTTTCAAGTCACGTTTATTGAATACATTACCGATAAAAAGTCTTTCAGTTTCGTAGGCTACAAAATAATGAAATTAATTACCACTAGAAAATTGCTTGATTTCGTACACCACAGATATCACTCCGCGATATGAGACAGGCGTATTCATTCAAAAAATACTTCCAGACCATGGACAATTAAATTACGTTTACTGTTTTAACAACTGATTAATTATTAGTTTCTATTATTGTAAGTATAATATAACTTAATACAGTTAGGGTGAGGGGAGGTCGCATGTAGGAAAACTAGCAAAAAGAAGATTGTGATAAGTTCAGGAAATCCTGCGTTAGAGCATTTTTACCAACGTAAATAAACCAAATATCGGTAAGTACATAAAACAGTGTTTTATACAATATTTCAGAAATTTGTGCATGTAGACACCTTACATTTGGATTTTTGTATGCATTCTGTGGAACATAATTTCTCGAGCTTCTTTTCTCCTTTGTATATAAAATATCTTAAATCACTAAAATTTTTAAAATAATTTTCTTTGTCTACTCAATTAACTTCGACAAGTTTCAAAAATAGGAGTCGTTATTCTTCTAAAATCCTGATTTTTGATAAACAAAGACGGTTTCTTTGTACAGTGTTGGGAAGTTTCTTGGAAAAAATCGTTAATATGCTACTAAACTGTACTGACTCTACTGGATATATCTTTAATACTTACTGATATCTTTAAATTACTATAAATAATATTGTAAAGAATTTATCATTATGTATTTATTTTTAATGTGAACGTTGTTTAGATTAAATTTGTATTTAGAAATATGCGAGACTTGTAGTATCAGATATGTGTTGCGTATAACGAATTTGTTATATATTTATTTTAATGTCGATGTTTGTTTCCAATAAGTTTATATTCGAGGGCGTGTCTAGCTTACCGTGTTAGTTACGTATGGCGAAACTCCCGCCAATTCTCCA